AAATAATAGTTTTTGCAAGAGCTTTCATTCCTACAATTTGTTAACATATTATTTGGAGCAGGCATGTCCTAAATTACCCCAGATTCAGATATTCAGAATATTTTCGGTGCTGAATTTTCTCTGCTTTTCATTCCTAAAATCTTTTCTTTTTCTCCCCAAAATCATTTAGTAGATGAGAGGTAGATTTAGATAAAGAATAAGCTTTCAAATTTGTTCAGCCATTCCTGTTAACTGGCAAAGTTTTCTCTCTTCTCCCCCCCCCCTTAGAATTTCCACGAAAGCATGATTTAATTTGCAGTTAATTAACTCATCAAATCATCATTGTGATTAATCAATTAATGCTTTCCATCCCAGCTGAGGCATTCATAATTTCTTAAATAAAATGGGCCCTAAAGAAAATTGTATAGCAGGGTGATCAGCGGAAGTGAATGTCAGCTCCTTGAAGTGAATAAGGTGTCCTGGATGCTCCTCTAGTTAAAGATTGAAATCTGTAATTGGCATTGATTTGATGCATTCATTGATTACAGTTTAAAATGTGAGATTTACAATCAGAACTCATCCATGGTGGGAAAGGTTTAACTATAGGTAGGAAAGAAGCAGGGGTGAGAGGAATGGACTGGTGATGTAAAAGTTGGGAAGGAAAGGATAGGTAATGTGGTACCTATCCCAGATGTTTTGAACTGTATCTCTTGTAAGACCTCCTCATCCCCCTTGCAAGATCTGGGGGACAAGATCTGAAATCAGAACCATCCAGTTCAAGAGCTAACTAGATTGTATAGCCTTGCTAGACCATTTTTTTTATCTATTTGCAAAGCATCTTTCTATCCTCAACAAACCAGGAGACATTTTGTCTCTGTTCTTTGAGACAGACCAGATCCTCATTTGACTTGCCACTTGAGTTGAGCAAGTAGGCTTTGTAGAGTGTTTCATAAAACCTGAAAAACCTATTTAATCAGAGAGAGAAAGACATCTTTTACCACAAGCAAAACATAGCTCCCTTAAAGATGAACATCAGGGATTATACAATGATTTATCTCTTGGTATCTTTCATTTTCTACATTAAAACTACTGGGGAAGCTGATAGGCACTCCAAGATATAGCCTGCTAAAAGGGTTTTTAGCCAGAAATGTATGACTAGGGAACCTCCTTTGTGTTCTATTTTGATTCAGAAGCAGACTTCTCCCTCAAATTATGTGTCTTGTTTAAAGAAACAGACTAGATGGTGCTTCATCACCAAAGAAAGAACCTTCCAGAGATATGTAGAAGATACCAACAAGCATAAAAACATTGCTTGTTGAAAAAGCCATTGTTGACTGGACTTGCATAAATGCATTGAGTCTAGACCTTGGTTTGTAAGCCTCCATGCTTGGGTTGTCACATCAAGCTAAGCCACAGATTAAAGAACCATGGATTAGTGCATTGCACAGTAGCATCAGTCCAATGTTGATTGAGCTCAGAAAGCTAAGGAGGGTTAGCAGTTGAATGGGATTCCCCTTGAATTCTGCAAAGAAAAATAATGCCCATATCTTATTCCTTCTCTCCACCCTTAAATATGCAAGGTTTAAAAATAATTTCTGTTTTTCAGCTGGCATTTGGCATGCCAGGCTATTCTTTGAGACAGAGGCCAGCTTGTTAGCTCATCTTAGTTTTGTTGGCTGAACAAACAAAGCAAACCATAACCTTGCCATCTATTGGCAGGTCTATGAAGAGGAGACCTGCAACGATGGTGTGATGGATGCCATCCTTTGGCCCTTCATAACTAGAATGATTTTTGTGTAACTCTTGTTGCTTTATCTGCATTGTGTGGCTTAAAGATGGAGATAAGTCTCATCTTAGACATAAATTGCTTCAACTCTTCCCCTTGGAACGCTGCTACAGAGCATTGTATGCCTAAACTAGACACAATTTTTTCCTTCATGCCATCATTCTGCTGAATACTTAATTTCCACAGTCCTGTCTTATGTCTAAGTGTAGTATGGCTGTATTACTTTTATCTTTCTCATCTGTTCCACTCCCTTCTCTACTGGTATCATTATTATCCTTTGTTATTATGATTATGATTACTTTGTTTTATATGTAACTAAGAGCTTCTGCACTGGAGACAAATTCCTTGGCCAATAAAGAATATTCTACTCTATAGATACTTTTGCCCCTTTCCTGCAAAGCCAGATCCACAAACCTTCCTCCACTACAACAGGCTGAGATCTCCAAAGGCCTTGCTGGCCCAGTAGCTTAAGTTTCCTCACTTAAGTCAGATTTTGGGGAAACCTATTCACTTCAGAGTAAATGAACCCCATAGACAACCTGGGATATTCTCCACAGGCAGCACAGAATTGCCCAGTCGTCACCTCTGCCAGCTCTGCACCCTCCCCCCTTTTAAAAAATATTATAAACCCAAACTTTCCAAGCTCTTTCCAATCAGGGGTGTTGGGCCAAAGAGTAAAATAAGGAAAGCAATTTAGGATGCTCCCTCTTCTCTTAATTATTCACATTTTAAGCAGCTAAAATGTGAACCTGGCTGAGTGTCCTCCTAGGGGATCCTAAAAAGGGGACCTCATGCTGGCTGTTCCTTTCCAAATGCCCCAATTCAGGGTCACTGTTCCCCCTCCCAAGCTAGAATGATCCAGCACAAAGAAAACCCTAACAAATCCCTAAAGCACCATGAAATGGACCAACTCTTCATGACTTCTAAAAGGCACTTTGCTGTGGCCTGCAGCAGCTTTGCAGGATGGAGGGTCTCACCCCCTACCACCACATCCCCTGGACTGTTGTCTCCTGCTCGGTTATCCCTTTCTGATGCTGTGAGAGCATCTCTTCTTTCCAGCAATACCCAACTATCTCTAAAGTCCTCCGCTGCTCTCTTTCTTCCTCTCATTTCATTCCTCCTCTCCTCTCGTTCCTAGCCCAGAACTGTTTGAACCTTTACAGCTTGCCGAAAGAAAAGGTTGGGGGTGACTGGCTGGCTGGGGAGTAGGACTGACTACAGTACTTTTACATTAAGCCTAGGTTCCCAGGTTTCAACAGGGAGGTGGTTTGGCAAACCTGCGCAGTTCACCTGCCTGCCTCCCTGCCTGCCTTTAAAGGCTAAAGGGTTGCAGGTTGGTCAGATCGACTGTACTCAGAGATGTCTGCTGGACTGGCAGACTGGGGGGGGGGAAGGGGAAGAGGAGACTTAGCTGTGGGCCTGGCTCAGAAAAAGTTGGAGTTTGCTACTGCTTGCTACTGCTTTTTATTTTTCAAGCAGGTGCAGTTGTAGATCTCTCTCTCTCTCTCTCTCTCTCTCTCTCTCTCTCTCTCTCTCTCTCTCTCTCCCACCCACCCAAATAAAGTCTGTTTTGCCCTTGAGTCAGCCTCCCCTTTTCTGTCTCAATAGCCCTGCCTTTCTGGCTTGTGCTCAGCTGGGCTCGGCTTAATCCAAGAAGCTGCATTGCACAATCCAAGAGAAGGTACACCTGGGCTGAGAAAAAGCTGAAAATCTCGGAGAGTTTGAGTGCAGATTTAGATCTGAAGTCTTATTCTGCTATTTTTTTTTTCTTTCTCTCTTTCTTTCGCCCCGCCAAGAGCGCTGGGGGTTCCTTGCGGAGAGAAAAGGGGCCAAGAGCATCTTTTTAAAGGGAATCCAGGCCCGGAAACGAAGCGAGGCCCGAATCTCTTCTTCCTGCGTGCCAAATCGTTTTGCAAAAGACGAGGGTTGTGACGCAGGCGCTGGTTAACCTGAGCAAGCAAAGAGCCAGGTGGAGTTTTTTTTGGGGGGAGGGCAGAGGGGCGAATTCAGCCTCTCCCCCCCCCCGGCGGGAGGAATTCCTCCGCTGGCTCGCCAGGCCCTGGATTCCCGGATCCAAGTGGGATTATAACTTCGCTTCCTAGAGCAAAGAAACGCACGTATTGGCCAGAAGGGCCGTTAGTGAGCTTCAGCGACGGTGTGCCCGCATGTGGGTCTGGAGACACATGAAAGCAAAACAAGCCACGTAGATAGCAGCATAGGGCTGGATCGGGATGGTGGCTTTGCTCTAGAAAGATAAAGGCAAATTTGGGGGATTGACGGAAGCGTTGGTTTCGGTTCAGACCAAAAAGGAAGTGGTGGAAATGAAGAGATTCAGCACAAAAACTGAATATAAGAATATTCTATCTATCTATCTATCTATCTATCTATCTATCTATCTATCTATCTATCTATCTATCTATCTATCTATCTATCTATCTATCTATCTATCTATCTATCTATCTATCTATCTATCTATCTTCGAAGCTTCCACTTGGAAAAGCTTCAGTTCTCGTTGACAAAAACTAAATCAGGAAGAGCTTTTAATTTTTTTTTTTTATCCGCAGTTGAATTCTTTGATGAACATCAAAGGGGGGGGACTATATGTGTGCGCGCGCGCTCCGGTTAAAGAATTGATCAAAGTCTCAAGAGCGACGCGGTCGCAGCCCTTCCGCGGAGGGGATCCCTCTGCGACCCTTCCTCCTCCTTAATTGCTAATTAAAATGGGGATAATTTTTTTGGGAAAAAAAAAAAAAACAACTGCCGAAGTATTCTGGAACCTGATATTTCTTCCCTATCGCTCCTTTCTCGTCCGACCCTTTAAGTGTCCTTTGGGGAATCGGCTGACAAAACATCTGGTTTGTAGGAGCGACGCTCCTGGAATCAAGGAAAGCAAAACTTTGAGGCCGTGGGCGTCCGTTTACTAAAACAATTTACATACGAAGATTCTTCTTAATCCGAAACGCATCGCAATCAGGAGAGCTTGAAAAATATTTACAGTTTTGGAAGGGTTTCCCCCTTCTAATACAATTTTTTTTTGTGAAGTTTTCAAGGTGTCTCTGGTCTCCCCTGTCCTTTCAGAATAATTAGGGCAAGTCTTCTCTCTCCCTTTTCTTCAAGAGTTTATTTTTCCTGAAGAGGCGTGAAGAGCCGTGCGAGTGTTATTGTGTGTATGTGTGTGGGTTGTTTTTTCTTACTAACCTCCATCACCCTAAGATCAGATAGCTGCTAGAGAAGGAACAAGCAACCCAATATTTATTTTGGCCTTCTTAGAAGAGAATTACAATTTCTTTTGGCGTGCGTCAAACCAATTGCTTCCCAAAGGAAAAAAAAAAAAAAAAAAGGAAGGAAGTTGCTGGAGAAGAATTGCTCGGGGCTACAATCTCACGCTCGCAACCAAAGAACGACAATCGCTGTTGTTCGTTCATAGCGTGGGACGTCGCTCGATTTTCTGATTAGGAGTTTAGCGCCTTCCGTTCAATCCACTCGTCTTCTTGAGACCGCAGCAGCTCTGCTCTTTTCCGACGACGCGTCTTTTCCAGCATCTTTTCCTTTCCCTTCGGTGCGTGCCGGCCCCTTTCCTAAACTGGAGGCGTCGGTTCTCCGCGCTGCCTGCTTTGCGCCCTTTCTTAGACTCAACTTTGCAAGGCCTTCGAGATCGCCCGTTTCTTGGTTGAACTTCTTCGCGTCTTCAGCGGAGGGGGGGGGGAAGAGCCGGAAAGGACTGGGGTGGGGTGGGGGTCTTCAAGGTGCATTTTCATCCATCTGAATGATTTAGGGATTTATGGGGGGGGGGGGTTGGGAAGAAGAAGAAGAAGAAGGAAATTCGGTCAGTCAGAAGTCAGGAAAGGGAAAAGGCCAGTGGCCACGTGTCTGTGCTCGGCTCTTCCAGACTCGCTCCTGGAATTCTGTACCTTTAAGGAATGGGTGAGATTCTGGCACCTGCAGTGCCAACCACACATAACAAATTCGTCCTCAAATCTGAGCACCTCCTTGACACTCTCTCGCCCTCTCTTGCGATTAGCCGCTGCCTTAATTTCCACCCCTTGCCTTCCTTACGACAGGCAAGGCTGCTAGAGTCAAAATGCTAACCACAATCAGCTTTTTAAAACCCAGTCAGTTCCTTAGGCTGAAATTATGATTATTATTATTATTATTCGATCATTAGAGAAGGCCGGAGAAGAGATATAAGGGGAGGAAAAAAAAAAAAAGCCTTGGCCTGCGTATGTACGCGCGCACAGCTGCACGAAGGATAGGCACAGGTTTGACTTTTTAAGCTTCTCCTATAAATTAGAAATCATGAATCCTAACGGGGGCCTGTCGCGGAATTCAGAGGAATTTTATTAGAAAACTGCCGGAACGCCTCTATCATTAAAAGACATACCCCCCCCCCGTCTGTTCCCACCGAAGCCCCTTGGAAAGAAAAAGTGCAGTGGGGCTGGTTCCCTCGCCGCCCCCTCCCTCATAGCGACATCTTCCCCGCAACAACGAACCCCCTGTCCTATTTTTTTCAGAGGGCGGTCAAGCCCCCCCCAACTTCCAGTTCCCTTCCTCCAAATAAAAATCCAAACTTCCCATCCGATGCCTCCCCCTCCCTCCCCGCCCCCCACGTCATTTATAGGATTTATTTCCCAAGCCGTGGATATAAGTTATAAAAGAAGCTACGAACACGCGTTCCCTAGAGACCCTGTCCCCAGCATTAAATTAAAGTCCAGTAGGGTTACGAGGAGGGTGGGAGGGTGGAGGAGAGAAAACGGGGGTGGGGGCTCAGTTTTCTTCTCTCTTTCCTTTCCAAGCTATCAGATGGCTAATAACGGCGCCAAATTATACCCAGTGCCAAGCAGACGTGCCTACTTCTGCGGCGAGGGAGGGAGGGAGGGAGGGAGGGGAAAGTGAATTCTACTCAAGCGGCACCTAACTAAAATCTGGGCATTTTTCATTTAGCAACCCCGGACTAATAAGAGGTTAGGCCGGCGAAGCAGAGAAGCCTCTGTAAGCCTTCCTTCCTTCCGTTCTCTCGCTCCCCTTTCCCTTTGTTGGGCAAACTTTTTTTTTTTGCCTGCCTCTGCCAAGCCTGGATGGCTGCGTGCTAAAAAAAATACAGAGGAAAGTGTGTGTGTGTGTGTGTGTGTGTGTGTGTGTGTGTGTATGTGTATATATATTGTATATAATATATTATATATATATATAGATATATATATATATATATATATATATATATATATATATATATATTATAAAGAGGGTTTCCCAAGGCTGATGCCAGTTCAGAGGAAACTGGCGCGTCCTTTGGTGAAAGGTGAAAGGGTGAGAGCGAGGCTAATTGCCCCCTCTTAGCCAAAAACTCGCCCTCCGTCGATTACTCCCCGTCTTGAAATCACGCCCTGCCTGATTTTGAACCCGCCACCGCCAGGAACCGTAGGCGTAGCCTTTTTTTTTTTTGCATATAAATTGCCTTCAAAAGAGAGACGCGCATTACGCGTTTTTTGGGGGTTTGGGGTTTTTTTTTTGGCCTAAGACTTGTCACTTGCTTCTATTCTTGCTGAGTTCCCACGGCGTCATTGATCTATTTTAAAAACTTCATGCTCCGCGTTACAAATTCAACCCCCTCCCCCAACCCCCCCCCCAACAGACACACACCCTGCAAGCTCCACCTTTGTGACAGAGTGAAGATTACCCGGAGGGCATCCAGTTCTATAAGTAATTAATTTCCTCCTTCAGCTTTAGACCTACCTACCTTCCTTCCTTCCTTCCTTCCTTCCCTTCCTTCCTTCCTTCCCTTCCTTCCTTCCTTCCTTTTCAAGGATGGAAAAAGACAGGAAGGCGCTCATTTGAAATTGTTGCCCAAGTCTTCCAAAGCTGATGGAGGAGGGGGGGTCGTCTCTTTCTTTTCTCCCCCCCCCTCGCTTTTCCCTCCTAGCAAATACTTTTGTTTCCCATTCTTTAAAAAAAGAAGTAATAATTCTGGCGATTGGTCCCCCACCTCCTTCGCAGCTGAGCTGTTTAGGACGTAAATTCTTGGTGCGCATTGCCCCGGTCCGCGTCCTGCCGGCGTTGCGAGAAAGCACATTCCGGAGGACGCTGATGGAGGCGCCAGTGGAGAGATGGACAGATGTTGGGGCGGATCTAGCAGCAGGCGAAGCCAGAGCGGAGCGAGAAGCGGTGGGAGGCAGAGAAAAAAACACTTTTTCCGGGTGTAGGAAAGTGGCTTTTTGCCTGCAAACACACGCGCCCGCCGATTTGCCCAGCTGCCGTAGAAATAACTTTGGGGGGGGGGTGGCTAGGTGGGGGCAGCTTAAAGGGCTCTAATCTTATTGGGGGTGGGCTAGGTCCTGCACCAAGCAGAGGGAGAAGATATCGCAAACCCGAGCCGGTAAATGGAAGCGCGGGGGAAATCCGGCCGCCGAAGCGTGGGAGGAAGCGTGGAAATCAAGAGAAAAACCTCACTTTCGCAGGTTTTCTGCTGCGATTTCCCAGGACTTCAAAGAACTTGATGTGTTGGAGGGGAGGCGGAGGTGTTTCATGCTAACGGCCGGTTCCCTTGGTTTTTTTTGGGGGGGGGGAGGGAGGGAACTATGGTGATGGAAAGGGGGAGAAATCAAAGTGTCCTGTTGTGTTCCCCCCCCCTTTCCACGCGAGGAAAAAAAAAGCCCCCCTCCGGAACCTCGATTTTTGAAGAGGCAGGTTAAAAAGAACTAGGTGGACTGGCATTTTTGAGCGAGTGCCCTGACGAAAGAGCCTTCGCTCGCGCATTAAAAGTCTTACCTTGAAAGTGAGACCACTTTGTTCTCTCCCCCCTCCCCACTTTCAAGAGAGAGAGAGAGAGAGAGAGAGAGAGAGAGAGAGAGAGAGAGAATTATTTACTATTGGCGTTTCCTGCACTTTCTCTTAAGTCAGGGAGCAGCTGGGTCTTAAAGGCGCGGGGCCGTGATTTGCTGGTCTGTTATTAAATATCGCTCAGCTACACAAAGAAAAAAAAGGGGGGGGGAGGAGGGGAGGCAGGGGCGGGGGGGGGGAGAGAGAGCGCGCGCGGGGGTGCAATTGGCACTCGAGTGGGTGCTTGGCTCTACCTTCTGATCCACGTTCATAAAGCACTTGAGACACAGTTAAGAGACCAGCCTCTTCTCCTTCTAGCCCCCCCCCCGCGTTCTCTCTCTCTCTCTCTCCCCCCCCCCCGTTTTTGCCGTACCTTATTTTGCAAGCCAGGGAGACCCAATCAAACGCGCAGCGCATCGATTCGCCAAGCGCTCGTTGGCAAAGCGAGGAGGGGTTTCCCACCCCCGTCCTTTTTTTTTCTTCTCTCTCTCTCTCCCTTCAGCTCTCCTCGCCGCCAATGAACTTGGACGAGGAAGAGGGGAGGGAGGGGGGAGCGACCAGCTACCGCTTCTCGATTTGGTTTTTGTTTGTTTGTTTGTTTTAAAAAAGGAAAAAAAAAGTACGTTTGGCTGAAAGGGGTAGGAAAGCTCAAACTTAGCGCACGTTCTTCTTTGGCCATGGACTACATTTAGCCCTTCTTGGTCTTCTCTTGATTTCTTTCTTTCTTTCTTTCCTCCCCCCCCCCTCCTCTCCTCTTCTCCTCTTCCCTTCTCCCCGCTGTTTTAAAGATTTCCTGGGGGGAAGAAGATGATAGGCACGGAAACGTGAAACTTAGGATCCCGAAGCTTGGCTGCAAAAAAAAAAAAAAAAAAAAAATCCGATTCCGAGCCGGAAATCTTGGCTGGGCAGCGGCGACCGGTTGAAAAATCTCCCACCAGCTTTAAGGCACGCACTGGTAAGTGATGCTGGGAGCGGGGGAGAGAGAGAGAGAGAGAGAGAGAGAGGAGAAAAGTGGGTGTGATTCCCCCCCCTCGCTGAGTGCATGGAGGCTTTGGGTCTTCCTTGGGGTCGCTCGGTGCGTTTTGCAGCAAACAAAGTGCCATTAGGAGTAGTTCTCGGCGCTTGGTGTCTCGAGGCCCCTCCCTTAGCAAAACGGGATGTCCCCAGGCGCCCCTATCCAATGCGGAAGGTTTCTTTGGGGACAAGTGAAGGAATTTACGCAGTCACTTAAAAAGGAAGATTTCCCCCCCCCCCTCCCGTTCTCAAGTTAGTCCAGGCTCCCGAATTCTCGGATGGAGAAGATGTATTGGAGTTTCTTTCAGTGGGGAAGAGGGCTTATAGGGCAAAGGCCCCCCCCTCCTTCCCCGTCTTGCGGACTGGAACTTACCCGCTCCCCACTTCCCCCCCCCCAAGTTGGAGTCCGCGGGACTGTCCCCCTCCCCTGGGCGCAGCGACTTCCCAAAGGCTTCCTTTTTTTTAAAGGAGAGAGAAAAGTTCCAGAAGGGAGACGCGGGGTGGGGGGTGGTGCAGGTGGCGCTTTAGCTTAGCTGGGCCTGTTCTATCTACGTGCAAAGCAATCCACCCCCCCCAATCCCCCCATCCCCAGCGGCACTGGCAAGCTGATGGTTTGTTTCCCGGCTCCCGTTTGATTTTGACAGATCGGCTGTCAAGAGCCGAACCGGTGGAAGTCCGCGGCAGGATTTGGCAGAGAAAAGCTTTACTTAAAAATCTTTTTTTGGGGGGGGGAGGTGGGGGGAGGAAGGTCTCTTTCCTTGTTGAAGAAGGGAGCGCCGCTTCTTTCATTCTGGGGAAGTAGTCTTTCCCACTCACCCACTCGTGGAAAAGGAGCGCTCCGAGCATCTTTGGAGCCCAGGATGAAGAGCGCTTTCCCGGAGATATTTCTATGCATCTCCCCCCCCCCATTGCAAGAGAGAACCAGGGACCCGCGCTTTCGGGAAAAAAGGGGAAAGCGGCTCTTTTCTTTGAACTTCTTGGGCGGCTCATCCCCCAAGCGAGAGCGAGCTGGCGCGATCATTTCCCCGCGTGGGTTAGAAAAAAAAAAAAAACCCGGAGATGTCCCAAACTGAGTTTAGATCCAAGTGGGGATACTAGCTGCCCTTCCCTTCTCCTCTCCCCCTGCCCCCTCCCCGGTTCCACAATCGCAACATGGGCCAGCAAAGCCGCAAAGTTTGGGTCTCACCTGCAGAGAAGGGGCCGGGGGGGGGGCTGTTCCTCCTCGGCCATTCAGTGGCTCCCTAAGCGAGACCCCCGCTTCTTGCGGACGGGGCGAGCCCACCCCTCCTTCAGATGCTGCAGAAGGGCAGACCTCGGTTTCCGGGGAAGCCTCTCCCCCTCCCTTGCTGGAAAGGCGGTGTGTGTGTGGGTGGGTGGGTGGGTGGTGGGGGGGAGAAGCATGCCAAAAAAACCACAAACTTCCTTGGTTCCCAGTCCCGGGAAGCTTGGAGCCTGGGGAGGGGGGGAGGAGGCGTCCAGAATGGCGCTAGGTTGGCGCGGGGAGTTTCTGGCAGAAGAGCCAAGCCCCGCCTCCCTCCCTCCCTCGCCCCTCCTCCTTTTCCCGGCTCTGAACTTGGGAAGGGGGGGATCCGGATGCCCCTCTGCCGCCTGGCCCGCCCCCCCCCTTCCCGCTGCCTCCCCCTCCTCCCCCGGGCGCTCCCGGGCGGCTGCCGGGCGAGCTGCAAAGAGGGAAGGCGCGGCGGCACCAGCAGCACCAGCGGCGGTGGCGGCGGCGGCGCCCGGCTTCTCGCGCTTCCTTCCCAGCCGGGAGTCACGCCGCGCTGCTCTCCTTTCCCTTCCAGCCCTGCCTGTTGCCGGAGCCGGCGCCGCCGCCGCCGCCGGAGGGGACCAGCCGCCGGCAGCCGGGAAGCGGAGCCTCCGCCGCGGCCACGACGCCTCGGGCTCCTGGAGCGCGCCAGCCGAGCGCCGCGAGGGCGAAGGAGACACGCGCGCCCGGGGAGCCGCGCCAAGCGGATGCCGTGAGGGCTCCCGAGAGCCGGAGGAGGCCCGAGAGGCGCGGGAGCTGCCTGCCCAGCCCTCCCGCTCGTCGGGGGGCTTCTCCGCCTCCTCCTGGCCGCGGGGCGACCTGTCAAACTCGGCCGTCCCGCCCGCAGCCGCCGCCGCCGCTTGCAGCAGCCCCCGCCGCCTCGCCGCCGCCGCCGCCGCGATCGGGGCAGTCCTTGCGCCCTGCTTTCGCGCCTTGCCTCCGCCTCCGTCTCCTCCTCTTCCACCCCAGCGTGCATGCCCGGCGGCGGCGGCGGCGGTAGCAGCAGCAGCAGCAGCAGCAGCAGCAGCAGCAGCAGCAGAGCAACAACAACAACAACAACAACAACACAAAAGCAACAGCCGCAGCAGCAGCAGCAGCAAGAGCCCCGTCAGCCTCGCAGCCCAGCCTGGAGTGGCTCCAGCGGGCTGGGGAGGGGAGGGGGCGCCCTGAAGCCCGTCGCCTTGCCAGCCCTGCCAGCCCGGAGACGCCGCCAGCCCCCCCGTCTCCTCCAGGCGCTGCCGGCGGACGCGGCCAGGCAAGATGCCCAGGAGGAAACAGCAAGCGCCCCGGCGCGCAGCAGGTACGAGAAGCGGACTCGTCGGGCGCTTCGGCCGGGGAGGGAGAGGGTGTCCTTCTCTCCTGCCCGCTCCCCCCTCCCCTGCCCCGGCTCCCTTTGGGAAGAGGGGAGTCTGGAGCCGGAGAAGCACCTCCGGTTTTCTTCCTGGCACGGTCTTCTCACCTCCTCCTCCTCCCTCCGCTTTCTTTGCCTCTTCTTTACTGGCCCGACCCTTCGAGGTGGCTTTTTCCGTTTTAGAGGAAGGAAAGCAGGGGAAGGAGGAGGAGTGGGGCTCTTAGGAAAGACCCCCCCCCCTCCTGTTTGGAGTTCTTTGCGGGACTTTGGATTTTAAGGAGGAAGCCTTTTGGCTCCAGATCTTCAGGAGCGCTTTACAGTCCCCCTGTCCCCTCCATGTGTGCTTCTCTCCCTCTTTCCAGGGTCCTTCTCCCCCCCCCTCCCCAGTCCTGCAAAGAAAGGATGGTGGAGCTATTTGGCTTGTCTCCTCTGGCCAGTGGAGGTTTGGGGGGGTGGGGTGGAGTGGGGTGATGGTGTGCATTCCTCCGTTCAAGGTTTTTTTTTTTTTTTTTTTTTTTGGTTCTGGTTCTTTCTGAAGGGATAAGGGTGGGCTGAAGGACAGCAGCACAAGACCATCCTCATCCCCTTCCTTTCCAAGAGTGAGGCATTAACAGGAAATGAGAGCAAAAAGATCCTGTGTTTTGTCAGATGATGACAGGCAATAATGGCTTTTTTTTTGCCTTTCCTTTTATACTTCCAGTATTTTATTGTTTTTTTTCCCTTCTTCCTTTGTTCCTCCTCCCATCACACAACTTAACACTTTTTGGGGTAGGGCTATATTGGCCAAACCTGAGATTAAACTGTCAGAGCTATGATTCTAGATCCCCTTCTTTTGCAGCTTGACTTCCTTCCTTCCTCCCTTCCTTCCTTCCTTCCTTCCTTCCTTCCTTCCTTCCTTCCTTCCTTCCTTCCTTCCTTCCTTCCCCTCTTTTCAAAAGCAAAGTACATTTTATTGGCAGTCATCTGTAACTCAGGTGGGCCACAACAGCATCTATGACACCAATTTGTTGGCCTGTTTGCCTTCCTGGATTTGATGGGCTGATTGAGGGTTGATCTTCTGCTTGCTTTTCATTCATTCCCCATAAACCTCGAGAAATCACTTGCCATGGTAACAGTGACTCCATATGACGTCAGATGTGTGGCCTTTGAAGCAGGGTCAGCATAACTTTTGTTGGGGCGGTGAGGGGTTCACCTCTGCCACATAGAGTGTGTTCTGTGGGCCTCAGGTTTTACAAGGAGTTGGGCTACCAAGAGGATGGTCTGGGGAGGGACTCTTAGTTATTGGCATATTTTACAGTATCTTCTAGGAAATATCTTGACCTGCAAGAATGCAACTTAGGGAGGTGGCAAATTTTCTAAGAAATTATTTGTATATCTAATAGGGCCAGGACTTTACCACTGTAACTTATTTCTCCCCAGATCAGGTTTCCTTTGCCTCCCCCCACCAAAAAAAATTAAGAGATTTCTCCTCTCATCCCCCACCCCCTCTGTTGAGCATCGTTTAAACATCTGGAAAGTTTAGAAGTTTTCCTGTATAGTGTGTGAAAAGAAATGCACACACATACATACTTCATCATGAAAATACTTTCTGGTTGAATGTGAGTTTTGCTTTGAAATAGATTTGCAGTTCCATTTTATGAAATGGAATTTTACTTTTTTAAAAAAAAACATTTTACTACAATGAAAAGGCCATCTTGCAAACTGTGGGCCATTTCAAGATGAAATTAGGTCTTATTCTTCAGGTTGAACCAACTGTGAAAGTCACACTAAACAGGTACGAAAAGTTTCTAGTCCATAGGCTTTGAGGTTGGAGTGAATGGGGATGGTGTGATTATTGTGTTGTACTTTGGGGCATGGATGGATGTGTGGTTTGCTTGTGACAGTTTACTTTCTCTTTTCTTTTCAACCCAGAACTGGGTATGAGTCAGTTCTGTGTGTGCCTTATTGAGAAAAAGTATCTTTTTTTTTTTTTAGGGAGCAGGTAGGCTAAATAAAATGCAAGCCTGTTTGGCCAACATGCTAAATTACTTTAAAACAATGATCAAATCTAGCCTGGAGCTTTTCTTTTCTTCTTCAGATGTCCTAACAGAGTGCATATATCTGTTTTTATATTTCTATAAACCAAATATCTCGAGTTAGTGAAGAAAATTCATTTGCTAAAAAAAAGGAAGAAAAAATTATAGGTCGCTTTAATAGGAGATAGAAGAACAGACCTTCTCTATCAAAACTTCCCGTCAAAATGACTTTGTTTCATATTTGATTTAATTGTCTCTCTTCTGACAGACACATTTATCAATAGCTTAATGGTCAATCCGATGTTGGCAGAGTGAATGCTTTCATTCTTTCTCCTACATTCAGTTTGCTTTTCCTTGATCAAAATAATGCCTTTGGTTGATGGTCTTACGGAGTGCTGGAGAGAAGAATTGGAAACTCTGCTTATTTAGGGTGGGGAAAGTACAGCTGCTATGAGAGGCACAAATGAGTGTGAAGTTAATGGTGTTCACTAATATTAATATACTGCAAACGACGTCTGTACACAGACACACACACAGAGATACCCACCCACACCTATATTTGATTTCATAGCTGAAAGTTGTAAGATTCACGGCTGCTCGTGGGGTGCATTTGGAGGGTTGATAATTTTTTTCCTTTGTAGTGATAGAGCAAATAATGTGTGAGTGTGTGGGTTTACATGTGTTGGAGAAAAAGCACACACAAAATTTACTGTTTTGTACAGACAGAGCAAATAATGTGTGGGGGGGAGGGTTTACATGTGTTGGAGAGAAAGCTCACACAAACACATCCAGACATTCATGTTGATTCAGCCTTCAGGAAATTCAGACTTCCAGCAAGCTGGAAAAATATTCTTGGAAATATCTATTCATTTATCTTCCTACCTATCTACCCCATTCTCTGTCTCTTTCTCTCTCTATCTCCTCCTCCTCCTCCAAATGGGAAGGTCCGCTCAGCCATAAAAAAAAGAAAGAAAAGAAGAAAAAGCAAAGTTGTTTTGCTAGCTTCATTAGTGTTCACCTAATTAGCTGTAAACCTGATGGATTCCTGACAGCTTTAATGATTGGAGATGACAAGCTCCACGCAGTGTCATCCAGCGGAATTAGGTTTGGAACTAGTTTGATGTAATCAAGTTGATATTACACAGTCCTGGTTGCCTTTAGTTGTGCATTAACTCAATTTTCTGCTGCAGGTGACAAATGGGTTTTGGTACCTGGATAATCATGTCATAGGAATTAGGGCCCTCATAATGGTCTGGAGTAGAATAACAACAACAAAGCACTCCTGGCTGCACCGGCGAGCTTGCTGTGCACAGCACAGGCAGGTGTGCAATTTTTGTGTATGTATTTTTGGCTTCGAGAGTTCAGCCTACAAGAGAGAAGACTTGAATCTGTCCCCAAAGACCCAGGAATCAGTGAAAAGAAACGTGTGTTTGTTGACTTTAGGTCTGGAATGACAGACTGGTAGATAAGTAGAAGCCGAGAAAGAAGTTGGGTTAAAAGATGGTGTACATTGAAAGAAAGGGCAGAATAACAGGCTCCTGTTTAGGAAAGCTGAGGACCTTATATGAATCAACAATCAGGATAATCAACTTAAAATGATACTTGTTCATGTATTTCTTAAAATATAAAGCACTGTCTTTTTTTGGGGGGGAAAGATGTGGTTGTAATCATATTTTGAGAAGAAAAGAGAATAAATGATGTTTCTGCTCCCAAGACGTTAACTGGAAAAAAGGCCTGTTTTTGCACTGTTAAGGTGCATCCTCGCTTTGATCCTCTTCCAGGGATTTTGGGAAAAAGGTGCTGAGATTAAAAGAGTCGAAGTATGAATCTAGAGACCTTAAACTGAGAGATCCCACCCAGGGTTTAAAAAAAGAAAAATAATGTTTGATGCTTGGCAAAATACTTTGGTGGGAGCGCGAACTACAAAGTCCGAGGACAACTTTGCCTTGGACAGCAACTGTCTGTGACTTGCCCTGTATCCTGGGCTGAGATGTCTTCTCCAGAATTGTGTGTGTGTGTGTGTGTGTGTGTGTGGTGTTGTATGGGTGTGTGTTTAGCAAAGCCTTGAAAGTGACTTTTTAACTTCAGCCACAGAAGGTGGAGAAATGGGATGTTTGTTTGTTTTTCTGCCTTCCTCTGTTCCTTGCTTCCGTATTTTGGTTTTTAACAGCCTTGAACCACTTACATCACAGTGCAGTTGGCAACTTCTCAGAGGCACAAAGTGGGATGTGAATGAAGGCAACATAGCTAATTTTCCCTCTTTAGTTCCACCAGTTCAGGCAATTGAATTCGCCTGAGCTTGTATTTTATAAGTAGCTTTGCGCCAGCGATTTTGAGCAGCAAAAGATAAGAAGCAAAACAATTTGTGTTCTCTTAATTTCAGATTTTTTCCTTTGTAGCTTGACCTGCTACCTTCCTTCCTTCCTTCCTTCCTTCCTTCCTTCCTTCCTTCCTTCCTTCCTTCCTTCCTTCCTTCCTTCCTTCCTTCCTTCCTCCCTTCCTCCTTCCTTCCTTCCTTCCTTCCTTCCTCCCTTCTTCCTTCCTTCCTTCCTTCCTTCCTTCCTTCCTTCCTTCCTTCCTTCCTTCCTTCCTTCCTAGCAGGAAGCTGACAAAATGATCAGTTATGGTTTCCTTTTGCTTATTCCACCCCCCCACACCCCATTGCAAACTATGAAGAACAATTGTAAAAAGAAAAGCAAAAGAAAAGAAAAGGTGGTAGTGGGCATGGAGTGATTCCTTCCCTCCCCAAAGCAATCCTAATTCCATTGAAAAGCTGGTTGGAAAACAGAATTTTCTGGAATCAGCTGCTACGACTCTTATTAGCTTGACAGCTGTCAATTAGCTCTTCAGTGTTCTCCTGGGCCACTAGTTTATTGTGTGCAGTTGATGTTGTCATTTTCTTCTCCGTTTTGCCTTGAGCGCTGTGATGAGCTG